TATAGCCTCTTACGTCATATAACGCGCTGGGTTGAAACCAATACAAAATCGTCAACAAAGAACGCTACAAAAGTTTCCTTCAAGCTAACGTCGATTAATGAACTCCAAGACACTATTGGATTAATGAAAAGCAAAAGTAAATTAAAAACGCCGACAGCCGATGAGGAGTCGATATATAAGACGTTTGACCTTTTCTTAAATGATCTTCTCTATCTAAAAGACTTGAAGAAATATTTTGATGATGAGATTTTTGCAGCATTGATGAAATATCATTATGAACCGAATGTTCAGACTTCTCGCTCAACTGAAGGTAATGGTGCAATGAAACACATCCGAACTATTAAGGTTGAGGATGAAGATAGCGGCAATGGATCGCAAATTGACGCTGATGAAAATCGAATCTTCCGGAAAGTAAACAATAATAGGAAAAAGAAATCAAAATCACCTAATTTGAGCAACGATGACGACGATAAACAATACAAAGACACTGTGGCTGCCCTCCGTTTGATTTTAAAGAAATGGGATGGACTTTTATCAGAAGATACTTTAGATTTAGATGACTTTGATCCTGACAGTTACCATGAGTTAATGCAATTTAGTAACTATACGCAGTTTGAAACCTTGCTTCGCCTCGTTCCTGATATATTTGCAAAATGCTACAAGAGCATTGACCTTGCCAAGACATGGTTACGTCTGTCAAACATTGTAATGCAAGACGAACCTCCGAGTACTTCATCTCCGATTATAGAGACAATGGATCAAAAGATGCCAAGTGAAGCCGAGTTCAAGGAATCGGAAAAATCGACAAAACAATTTTTAAAAGAAGTGCGTGAAATTCAGAAGCAGATACAAGACGTCGATAAATCTATCGGTGATGATGTTGCTCTTCTACATAAATATTATAGAGAAATGGACGTTCTTGTCGGACGAGATGAACGCTTTTCAACTGTGTCGTCTCACATGGACAAAATTGACTCTTTGATGACAATTGCTGCGGGAGAATACCAAAAATCCAAAACTGAACAGTATTCTATCGCAAGCAAATTGAAATCTTGTAGGAAAGGAACGCCAACTTACGGTGAGTTAAAAACTAACCTGAAAAAGTTGGACAATGAAGTCGCTCAAAATCACTGGAAAATCAAACGGTTAGAATTTGAAAGAACAATGTATCAAGAGGACCTGCTTGTAGAGGCGGAAGTACGCCCTAGTTTTATACGATTCATCGGTGATACAAAAGAAAAAATGAGTGACCTTGAAAACTTACTAAGTGTGAAACGCGATGAAAAATTGAAGCTCGAAAAACATTTGGCTTTAATGAAAACCAATACAGACCGCATGCGCAAGATAATGCGAACATATTTAGGAAGTGCTTCTACCCAAGGGGATATTTCACGCGAGTCATCTATTTTATCAACACCGGATGACCTAAGCGAAATTCCATTGGTTGATGGAAACGAGGCCGATGCTGATTCTCCCGTTCCATTTGAGGACAATGAACAGCAACGCATTCACCATAAACATTCTACGAGTGCGCATTCCCAGAAGCAAAAACTCGCAGCGAAAGCCACAAGACCGTCGTCCGAACGGCTTTCTGAGACTAGTCCAAAACCGCTCACGAACTTAGGTCGTGTATCTAGAGTCGGACCAAAAGCTGCTCTTAAGACAACACCGAGGCGCGTTTGGGAAAATATGTAAATGAAATAAAAAAAAGAAGAAAATTTACTAATTCACTTATCACACCTTTTTGACATCAAAATCAAAGTAAAACTTGTAAAGTCATTTATCTCTTTGACAAAGGGTGGAGATTATAAAACGTCTTATTGAATAGTTCTATGCAACGCCTTGTTTAATGTAGTACTAAAATGTTTGTTTAATTATTTAGTTATCTACAGTTTATTTAGATATTCACCAGGTGGCCATTTGTGGATTCTGTGCATTTCCTTATCTGGTTTTAGCTGAAATGACTGTCCGCATGTTCACATTAATTATTGAATGGCGTTTGACAAATGTATTTAACTTAGTCGTTACACGGAGATACAAGTTGAGTGTAAGTACGTGAACTCGGTTACCTTGAGCACAGTCAAAACCCGTTCGTTCAATGCAAATCAATGATAATTTTCAAAGATCTTGTAATGTCTGGTTCTTTAGACGACCTTGAAATAATATAAATAAATATATTTGTAATCAAAGTAGACATACATACATACATACAGACGTAAATTTTCTCAATCTGATTAAAATCAGCTCTCAATAACGCTCCGCTTTTACATAAAAGAACTAAGAAGATCTGAACTTTAGTCAGATTGAAATTTTCTTTTCGATCGAATAACCGTATTCAGTAACTGAATAGACATTTAAACATATACAGGTCCATTTCAAATGACTTTCCTGCGAGAGACAAAACTATACATGCTAGAGTTACCTTTACAGGGTCACTTATTCCATTTATTAAATCTTGGTGCATTGTGTATGATATAACCACGTATTATGACGCGCGTAAAGTTCAAGCTTCATCACAAGTTCATGTGGTTGAAAGACTCTTTTTTTGTATCTATTCGGGTTAAGAGACAGTACTTGGAGGTGGGTGCCACTGTAAAAATGCTTGAAAAATTGATGGCGGCGCAAGAGTCCATTTTGTTGGTCATGCAAAGCATTAACTCGTTTTAGGCATGGCCCAAGAAAGACAACTAAAGAAATACTTTTCATCTTTACTGACAGAGTAACTTACCTTAGCTGTTATAAGCTATTCAATAATTATATTTTCCAAATTTTTAAAAGAAATAGCACATATGTTTCTCTATAAAAGCAGGCTATGTATCTGTGAAATATGCGTTACCGTGGTATATCGTTACATTTATAATATTGCAAGTTCATATGCCTCGTTGCTCGTGTTATAAACAAATAATATAGACAAGGAATCACACTAGCGTCCATCATGGCTGCGTTTCATGAAAAGTCGTCAGTCTAAAATAAGTTTAAAGACCAAAATTAAGACAATATTGCGATTCAAAGAAAATGTCTAACTTCTGAACTGTTTTAAATTTCATAAGTACTTCAATTTTTTTGATATTGAAAAATTTAGAATTGCGCTGTCCCGGCTTAGAGTTTCTTCACATAGACTTGAGATTGAAACTGGCAGGTGGAATAAACCTAGTGCTATACCTTTTGATGATAGGAAATGTAAAAATTGTTTTATTTTAGAAGATGAATTTCACTTCATTTTAGAATGCTCTCCTTATGCTGAATTACGAAAAAAATGTATAAAAATACAGTGTTGGAAAATACTAAATATACCTAAATTTATCGCATTAACACATTCAGAAAATGAAATAGAAATTAGAAACGATTCAATGTTTTCTTTAAGCATTCTATGTTCGAAACATTATTCCTTATAATTAATCAAAAGTTTGTCCCAAACGCTGTATTATATATATTTACTTTTGTATTGTTTTGTTTTGTGTTTTACACCCTTATTGGTTGGACGGTATCTGTCTTAAGTATATAATTACCAGTATTATCACTATAATTCGAGACGTGTTGATACTTGTGTCACTAAGTGATAGTAGATTATATTCTTAGTTAACATTTTCTTATTGCTAAAAAAGTAAATATACTGTGAAACTTGATGATATATGTTTTATAAAGTAATGACATTGACAATTTGACTGCATTATATGCATATTTGTTATACGTACAGTGGTGTACGCATGGGGATATTGCCCGAATGTATTTTGAAATAAACTCTTGAAACTCTTTATTGAAATGGTCTTGAGTTAGTCCTCAACCTAGGACTTAGGATACACTTAAGACTTTCTATGAAAAGCTGGGAACCAGACTATTGATTGTCAGACAAAGAGGATAGGTTTCTAACTCCATGTCTTGTAGACTCTTATATAATATATATCATTTTTTATAGTCTCATGTATGTATACATTATGAAATTAAATAAAACACATCATTTAATATAGACCATTGACAATTATATGAAAGATTTCTAAGACACTATTTTTAACAATATAACATGCATAAATCACAGGAAACTGACATATAGCAAGACTTATATATTTATTTCTCTTATATATAACAGAAACATCAAGTTAATTATATTTCTCTTTTATATACATATGGTTCAAGTAAAAACTAAGGTATCCTTTTTAATCGGTGAATTAATGGAGAAAAACTGCCTTAAAATGGGAAAGTAATAATACTGCAGAATGCATCTCAATCTCAAAATGTGTGTAAAACAATTATGTTATTATACTCATTTAAGAACTGAAAAATAAACCTCGCGGCCGTTACACCGAAAAATTTGTTGGATTCAACAACATTAAGTTACTTATCAGCCACTCCGAACGAATAGTTGTGCACTGCAAAAATAAATAAATAAATAAATAAATAAATAAGAATACAAGGTTTTCGTCGTCTCCGCCACTTTGTAGGGTCATCCCCTCACTCTCAGGCAATATATCGTCAGCCACTCTTCTGTGTATGCCAGCGGTGGGGAATATGTTGTTCGGTTGTACCGACGTACGTAACACAGAAAACCTTATTCACAGGTGTCCCAGTCATGTGTTCATTTAATGACTACAGCCTTTTTATTTGAAAGATTCTACAGGTACAGGCTTATATCAAGCTCTTATTACTTTTATTATCTGTTGAGTTATGAAAACAAAATCTATAAAATTTATGACTAAAACAAAATCGGTCAATAAAAATTTATGAATACCCATACGTAGAAATGTGTATTAACTGTTTAGTTGTAAATTTCATATGCAAATAAGCTTCAAAGAGCGAAGGCAATAAAAATATTTGAAAAGACGCCATAAACTGAAATGAAATAAGGTATAAACTGATATTCCTGTCTATATATTTCCGAAATTAATTTTGGTGACATTTTTCATAAATTAGTCAATTGATAACGAATACATACATGTGTTTATCCATGTCTTCAAGTATCACAGTCACTCTCCCTCCATCTCTCCTTAACTGCCATGATCAAGTATTTCTCAAATATCAAAAAGAATACCCTTTCGTTACATATTCAGGAGATGATTTTTTTTGCACAGCTCATAGCTTGCAATGGATATTTTATTGTCAAGCACTTCTTAAATGCGATGATCTTGCACAGGTTCCTGATAGATATTATCGTGTAAATCCACTTTTTGACTCAGTTCCTGCAAAACATTTGATCAACTACTTAAAAGAAATAAACTTGCATTCTAAGATTTAAATTACTCATTTTATAATCTTGTAGTAACTCTCTTTACGTTGAACATTCATACATTCTAATACATGTAATTATTTTAATAATCATATTGTCCGGTATGACCAGAATGTACTAGTATATCCGTCACAGCGGATTTGTGACTTTACTACGTTCACGGGCAATCTTAGAGCAATGCGGACACGGTGGGCTCTGTGAGTCGCCTGGAGGACCTAATAATTGCTTAAGGATATCGAGTCACGGCGACTTTTTTTCACCTGAACATGTACAAAACAAACGCCGAGGATTGACGTACTCAGTACGCCTTGAATCAAAGCGTTTTAGGGACCATGTGAACATCCCAAGCACGCACTATGAAAGTACTATTAGATGTCACACAGTCGCCGTATAAACGCACATAAAGGCCCTGTCACACTATAATGCGCTTTTGCACGGCGCCGCGAGATCGCAAGAAAAATCTGATATTTTGATGACATGGAGACTTCACGGCGTTCGCATGGCGATCATGACGTTGCTACGGAGCTTCCACGGCGTTGCAATGCGTTCTTACGGCGTTTCAATTGGCGATTGTCTGCGTTCGGACTGCGCTTCTACTGCGTTCTTTGCGCTTCCACTGCGCTTTCACAGCGCGTACACAGCGCTCTCGCTGCGCCCACACTGCGCTTAAATCGTGCTTTATATACCAGCGATTACTCAATCTGAATAGTCGTGTACCTGCTGCACCCGCATGCACGCAAGCAGTATTCCAGCTTGCTGCCGTTCATCATCCATGGTTTAAAGGACATTTACTTGCAAACACGTTCTATATAATTATACAGTGAAAACCCTCTATTAAAACCACCATTGGGACTGGACTAAAGTGGTCTTAATAGCGGGTGGTCTTAATTATGGATATGATTATCAAGGCATATTTATTTCATTACCACTCTGCTTGAAATATTATGTATAAACATATTTAAACAATTATAAGATAACCTTCAAATATTACTATAAACTGATGTTATAATATTTAATCCTAATAAGAGCATTAATCTGAAGATATGTAATGTTCAAAGGTTTTGTTTCATGTAAATAATTCACGTATTAATTAAGAAATGAATTCTTCATAAAATACATGTGCAGAAAGTAACATACAACCAATCTAAAGTTTATTTTCTCACCTTTATACAATTTTCAAATCACATTGTTTCATCAAGTGTCATGCTATAGAGAATTCAAGCAGATGAATAACAAAAAACTTGTTATCTGAATAGGTGTTAACTGGAATAACAGTGGTCTTAATAGTGGGGTTAGATAAATAAAACAATGAAATGAGACAAAAATTGGTGGTCCAAAAAGTGGATAAGTAGGGTGGTCTTAATTGTGGATCATGTTGCCATCAACATAAAGAACAGAAAATTCCGTTCTTTTAAAAATTGGTCTAAATAGAGGGTTGGTCTTAATTCCTGGGTGGTCTAAAGTAGGGATTCTACTGTACCGTATTCTGCAATTTTAGATCAACGCAGTAGATTCGCATTGACTGCGCAATGGTCGCCTTGACAGTGTCGTAAAGTCGCAGTAAGAGCGTTTTAGAAAAACTAAAGCTCCGTAAAAGCGCCATACACACGAAGTATAAGATATATACAGAGGCCGCACAATCTTCGTTCGAGCGCCGTTGCTAATAGCCCTGTCACATTAGACTGCGCTGTTACTGCGTTTGCACAGCGTTGTTAAATTTAACAAAGCGCCGCGAGATCGCAAGAAAAATCTGATATTTTTGATGACACGGAGACTTTACGGCGTCCTCACGGCAATCATGGTGTTGCTACGGAGCTTCCATGGCGTTATAATGCGTTCTAGCGGCGTTTTAATTGGCGATTGTCTGCGTTCGGAATTCGCTTCTACTGCGTTCTTTGCGCTTCCACTGCGCTTTCACGGCGATCTCGAGGCGTTCACACTGCGCCTATATCGTGCTTCATATACCAGCGATTACTCATTCTGAATAGTTGTGTACCTACTGCAACTGCATGCAAGCAAGCAATATTCCAGCTTGCTGCAATTCATCATCAATGGTTAAAAGGACATTTACTTGCAAACGCGTTCTATACATACAGTGGATATTAAGACCACCAAAAGAGCTAGACCAAAGTCACAGTGATCTTAATTGTGGATGGTCTTAATTATGGCTATAAATATCAAGGTATATATATTTCATGACCACTATATTTGAATTGTTTTGTGTAAACATGTTTAAACAATTATATCATAACCTTCAAATTTACTATAAAATGATGTTATAATATTTAATCCTAATGAGAACTTAGGTCTGAAGGTATTAAATGTTAAAAATTGATTTTCATAGGTCTTGTTTCATGTACATTATTCACCTATAAAGTAAGAAATTAATTCTTCACAAATTGATTTGCAGAAAATAACATTAAACAACTCTGAAGTTTATTGTCTGACCTTTATATAAATTTCCAATCATAACAGTAGTAACCCTTTGTTTCATCAAGTGACATGCTTTAGAGAATTAAGCAAATTAATAACAACAAACTTGTGATCTGAATGGGTATTGACTGGAATATCAGTGGTTTCATTGGTGGGGTTAGATAAATTATTATATAAACAATGAACTGGAATTGAAACTGGTGGTCTTAAAAGTAGATAAGTGGTGTGGTCTTAACTGTGGACCATGCTACCATTAACATAAATAACCGAAAATTTCGTTCTTTTAAAAATTGGTCTTAAAACAGAGGTGATCTTAATTCCGGAGTGGTTATAAGTAGAGATTCTACTGTACTGTATTCTGAAATTTCAGATAAACGCAGTAGTATCGCATTGAGAGCGCAGTACACACGCAGTATAGGCGCGATACAGACGCCGCACAATCTCCGACTAACCGGGACGTTCATTCGGCGATCCTTCCGCGCTTTCACGGCGCACCTGTTGCGTTGTAGGAGATTCTACTGAATTGCTACGGCGTCCTTACTGGGATCCCACTGCGCTCTTATCAGAACGCCGAATGACGGCGTTTGTTTTGAGCATGCTCAAAATGCGCGCCGTCGGTCGGCGTTCTATGCGATGCCACTGCGATGCAGCGGCGATGCTACGGCGATGTTTGCGATCTTACTGCGCTCACCTCGGCGTTCTGAATTTTCTTTGGACGCCGTGAGAACGCCGCCCTAGTGTGACATGGGTTTTAATTGTGTGACATGTAACTAACAATTCTCTGACGGCAGTGCAATGAGGTAATTTTGAATACGACTTTGACGTTTTCAGAACGTTTGTAGTCGTTGTATAGCAGTAATACGTACTCTAAGAACCTACTTATATTACTTAAACAAATAATAAAATCTTATTTTTTTAAGTAAATATAGAACGACATACCGGTTTGTTATCACGAAAGTCTGAAAGTGTTTTTCTTTCTTTTTTTGGCTGTAAATTTACGAGAGAAAAAATATTATTACGCACATATTTTAGGTCAAGTGCACACTTGTAAACTGAACTGATTCAGATTAAAGAAATCGATATGAGGAAATGTAGTTCCGCTT